AGCACAGACTCTGGGCCCCTTCCTACACCAAAGCGAAGAAAAGAAGGAGCATTAAGGGGGGGGGGGAGAAAGAAGAAAGAAAGACATCACTCAGATTCTCTTTCCCCTCAACTCTTTACTTTGAGGGACGCAAACAAACCAGGACACGATGACACCTCGGAAGCTCCCAGTGCCCCACCCAAATGTGCCCCCCTCCCCGCACGTTAGAATCATCTCGGCAAAAACCCCTGATCCCCAACACAGAGAGATGCCAGCAGCAGCAGCAGGAGCCCACTTGGGAGAGGTCTTCAGCCTCCCGACGGCGCTGGAACCCGTCAGCGAGCGCGGCTGCCCAGCGCTCCTCCAGCAGCGCACATGCTCGGGCACAGGGCGCTGGAGCGCACGGGCGACGCCGGCTCCGCCCTTCCCTCGCCTGCTCCATGTGTTACGCTCGGGCTTTCTGCTCCAGCTCACTCCCCTTCGGATCCTCCGCGCTGGCGGTCACGACGCCTGCTCTCCGGGACTTGCCAGGCTGATGAGAAGGGAGGACGGAGCCCGGAGGGGAGCGACCCCCGCGCCCGACTGCTACCGAGAGTAACTTGCGAGAGGATCTCTCGGGGGAGGAGGCGGGAGTGGAGGAGGGAAGGCGGAGCGAGGAGGAGGAGGCGGGGTGGCCGGGGCTGAGGTTAAAACGCGAGGAAATTCCACACTTGCAAATATAGTCCAACTGAGCCCGCCGGCGAGCGTGCGCTCTCTTCGGAGGAATGGAGAAGCTGGAGCACGTGAAATAAAACAAAGCCCAGGAGAGAGGGACTGTGGGGGGCTCCCCCCCGCCCCCCCCCCCCCGCCAGGTCCTTCCTGCCAGAATGATTCCTCCCAGCAACGCGGCTGAAGTCAACGTGGAGAAGGGAAACGACAGCGAGAGCCCCGATCAGCCCCCCTCGCCTGCGTCCACCACCAGCCAGGAATCCAAGGTACTGAAGCCCGTTGGGGGGAGGGGGGGATTGTTTGTTTGAAGGCTGTCACCCTTTGCCAGAATGCATGCTGGCCCTCCTGCTGTCTTGCTCTTGCCGGGGTGGGTGGCGGCTGCAAATGTGGGGGTACTCGGGCATGGCCGGGCATCTCCGATGGCTCCGGAGTTTTCCACAACCTGGAAAGGTCTCTGACCCTGGTTAGAATGCTGGAGTGAGAAAGTTCTGCTCTTTTGCCTGGAGAATGGGGAAGACGTTGGAACGTCGCCCTGTAACTTGGCATATTGCGGCCACTATTTGAATAGACTGTGCCAAAGAGCTTTTTTAAAAATGGCTTTCTAGGAAGGCTACCATTTAAGTACCACTTCGGTGGGAAGGTAACAGCGTTCCGTGCGCCTTGGTGTTTAGTCATGCCGGCCACATGACCACGGAAACGTCTTCGGACAGCGCTGGCTCTTCGGCTTTGAAACGGAGATGAGCACTGCAACCCTAGAGTCGGATTCGACTGGCTTTCGAGCAAGGGAACCTTTACCTTTACCTTTAGCATAAGATAACCAGGGGAATGGTTTTAAGGGAAGATCCCATGATGGCAGATGGTATTCCCCCCAAAGTCTTCTTCCTGGCCTGGTTTTGACATCTCTGACTGCATCCTGTGCTTAAGTGACTTAAAAGGTGAAAAGTTTCTTAGTGGCTTACATCTCATTAGGAACAGGGATCCCTAAGGGGTACCAAGCCAATTAACAGATCAGTGGTGGGTGGTCTTCTGTTCAACTGAGACGTGACGTAACAGGGAGGAGGCACCTGCTAAGCTACAAGAAGTTGTAATTGTTTGTTTGCTAGCAACCTGGTCCCCCCAGCCAGCTTCTTTAACCCTCCGGTGCAAATATTACCTCGGGATCCTGCAGAAGTCTGACCTGCACATAGCATACATCAGTAATGTGACCCTCTGACACAGTTCCGTGGCATCTCTGGATGCCAGGCCCTTGGTGTGTTTGTACGGGGAGGGGGGGGGAACAGCAACATTCTGTGCAAGAGGCAACTTGGTATATATTGATCATATTGTACAACACTGTACAGAGAGCGGATTTGGGGAGTTACTCTAGAAGATTGTTACTTTAGTAGGGTAGAACATCTAGGCACAGTGGCCACCTGATAGGCCTTGAGTCGGTGAAATGGGTATGATTCTAACAGGCCTGTCAGAGAAGATGCCCAACATGGTGGAAGATCAAACCTGGAATGAGGTCATATAAACAAATGGAATTACCACCTTGGTGCTGTAGGCCTGTTGCTTGAGAGCGGGGATATGCTTTCCTGTGGTTGTCTTATGCTGTCAGGTACTTGATTATAGTTATTCATGTAAATGTTCTTTTTGTGTATGTCTGTGAGAGTTATAATTCATAGCAGGATTCCATCCTAAATCCCACAAATATAAACATTTCCTCCTTAAATACTAATTAAGGGTAAAACCGCTTTGTGCACCAGCAAAATATTATAACTGAAATACATTTTGTGAGAAACACTTTCTAAAATTGTGAAGTTTTGAGGGGAGGGAAGCTATCATTCTGATTCTCCAAATCTATCTGTGGAAACCAACATACAAATTTGGCATGTTGAATTTTAGTTTTCTGAATGTTATATTTGAGTTTTACGTTCTGAATAGGATTGCCATCAGGTATCAAGAAACATGTCCTGTCCCTTTAATGGAGATGTGGAAATGGGCGGCTGAAGCTTTTCATGGTATGGAGGTAAATGGCATAAAAAAACATTCCATTAAGCCTTTATTAAAGGTACAGGAAACTTTTCTCCAGGCCTGTTGGCAACCTGCATTTTGAATGAACATTTGGTTTGTAGGGATGAGTGTGGTATTTGAGTGCAGATTCACCACTTCTAGTAGTAAATAATATATTGTTAGCCAAACATAGTAGATCTTTAAATTCAAGTACCAAAGTTCTATATACAAAATAATGCCACATATTGTCAGCACTTCTTTCTGAAAACACAGAAATATTAGTTATTTTGGTGTGACATGCTAAGTACACCAATATTCAAATGACACTTGAAGACCAAAACTCGGAGATTGGGCAATTGCCCTCAAATTTCAAATTGGAATTGGAAAAAGTCTGTGTTTTGAAATTGGCAGCTTGTAAATAAGGCTAACATAAAATGTAGCTCTACTAATTGGATGTGAAACTTAATTCCCTGAAAGCAAGTTCAATGGATAGTGAATTGTATCCTTCAGATTTGTAGCTGATCCAGAACTTGAGTTGAGTCCTTATGCCAATAAGATATTGCCATATTGTGCATGGAACCACATCTCTTCTAATAATTTACAACTGAACAATGATCACCATTTGCTTTCAGTAAAAAGGTATGGCCAAGCAGTACTGCTTATAATTGGTATACATTGGCTCCCCATGCTCACCAAATTTATATGTAGTAAACAGGGTGTGGCTCCCCACCAACTGCTGCGCTCCCTTTTCTCTACCTGCCACAGGAATTGGCTGCTACCATCGTGGAGTGTTGTCTTCTCGTACTGCAACACTAATGTGGTAGTTTTGTGGGTCCATCTTAAACCCAGAAGGCAGGAAGGGAGCCAAGGTAGTTTTGTGGAGCCATCTTAAACCCAGAAGGCAGGAAGGCAGTCTTTCTGATGCCCCACTATTTAACTTCAGCAAAATAGCTTTTGCTGTTCTGTTTCTACTTGTTGGCCTGAATGGGAGAAACACCCCTCACCAGTAAAGTAGGGCTTCTCCCATGTCCTCCCTCCTGATTTTAAAGTCAGAGCCGTCCAAGTGAGCAGCCACCCTAGCACCATTTCACAGCAACACCCTCAGCAGCTGTTCTTATTGCTCTCTTCTTACTTTCTGGCTTGAGACAGAAGGGCGGGCAAAAGTCCAGAACAAACTGCGCTTTCTTTCTCTCTCCCTCAGAAGTTAAGTCTTGAAACGAGTGGGACTTGTTTCCTCATAGAACGTATTTGGAGTAGGGATTGGAGTGATTTGTAACAATTTAACTTTTCAGGCCTGTATTTATGCAATTATTTTTGCATTATGGTTTAATGGGCAGTCGCAACTGGACATGTTTTTATAACTCCCGTCTCCCTCTTGCTGCATCCTAGATCATTTATAACTAGATTTTGCCAGATGTCTGTTGCTGGAATCCAAACTCTTACAGAGCCTCTTGACTCCAGACTTTCACTGCAGGAGAGAAAGCTAACTGGGACAAGTACACAATCTCCAGTGAAGCCAGAACATCTGACGAGTTTATGAACTAACTTAGACAAGCCATCACGCAACTCCTTTGGCTATGGCTGTAATCCTAAACACAGCGATCTGGAAAGCAGTTCCACTGGACTTTCGTCCAAGAATAAATGTTTAGGATTAAAAGGAAGTTAAGTTTTATTCCAGTGAGCCCTGTTTTCCAGCAAAGAAGCGAACAAGTTGACCCGCAAACCGTTAAAATCAATTTATGTTTCTTTCCAGCAAAGAAGCGAACAAGTTGACCTGCAAACCGTTAAAATCCATTTCTGTTTCAGTCCCAAATACCCTTCCTTGGCTACAAAACTGATTTTAGTGGCATAGACTTCTAAGTAGGTTCACTTGGGGACTGCTGGAGTAAATCTGTGCACTTTGTATAAACTGGCTTTAAGTTAATCCAGTCAACAGATTTCACAGAGTAAACCGA